AAACCGAAAGAAGAAGAAGAAACCATCGTAGAAGACGTCATACTTGGATATAACAGAGAATGACATTATTCCGCAAATAGCATATAGTAAGTGCGTTTAGCTGTAGTAATAAATTATGGTTTAGCAAATATAACTTTTGGATCTATTGCCCCTATGGATTAGCTCTTGAGCCAGAGGTAGAAAGTCAAGTACCGAATCAACATGTCTGTTTTTATACTGAAAAGTATTATCGTCCTTAAATCGCTTGATAATGAATGTCTCAACAGAATTCTAGCCTAATTTAATGGCTCCAATACTATCTCGTATATAGAAACTTCAATACTTTTAATGTGACGGCATTGAAATTCTATTGGATAAATTTGAAAGGAACATAGTCTCGATAACTTATCAAAATAAATTAATTTTCAATATAATCCTTTAACAATATAAGCTTTACACATTTTATTAAACAAGTTACAGTAGTTTAGTTATATTATGAATATATTAGTAAGCCAAAAATTTTAACGATGGTTTTAATAGATTATTAAAATCGAAATATTTCCATAAGTCATCAAGATTCAAGTCATTTTCAAATTGATAAGAATATCATCATATAGCAATAATTGAGACATATTATCTGTACGAAGTGGCAAGATTGGTTGAACTGTCTCGAGACGAACAGCATTTTTAGCCATAAAGAATGGCTTATCCTTCGTTCTTAATCCTATTGACAGGTCTTAACACTTTACAAGAACGTGTTGCTATTCTTAAACTTTCTCCCCAATCTCGTAAGAATTTAAAAGTAGTTTTCTTTAGTGACTCGGTAGACATATTTGCTAAGAAAGCCACTAGACAGTTGATAAAAATGATCACCAGTGCCCGAAAGATAAAACCATTTAACGCTAGTGGTTTGTGCAGGTTAAGGCCTGGCCAGTGGATCAGCCGCATGAAGTTTTCTACACCTAAATAGGAGCCAATTTTCCATAGAAAGTCTTCCTGGGAGGCATCCGCTTGGTAGATCGCCTATGTGTTGCGTTACCTTACCCATCAATATAATCCAGTTCGTAAAAATGATACTGCAGATTTATAATTATATTGTCCGAAGTGATAATATTCCTCATTTGATTCATTTTTATAATGACATTTTAAACATTTCTTCGCAGGTTTGATAATTTTGTTTAAGAAATTGATAGAGTTAGGAGCACAATACCAGATAAACTACCTATTAATCGTAGAGAAGAATGCATAATAATAAATGTTCTCGCGTTGTACCATTTGAAAAAAAAAAAAAAAAATATTGAAAAATGATTAATTCTTTCGAACATTTTCAAAAGAATATGCATATAACAACTAACTATACATCATGAATTATTGAAATATTCTAATGTAGTTTGTTCTAATGTGTATAGACTATAAATGATACTCGTGATATGTAATTAATCCATATTTTAGAAATTCAAGCTTGAAAACTTTAACAAGATTTTCAATATAATTCTGAATCAAATTTCGATTTAAAAAAATTATAATTTCTTTTCTTACATGCTGTAATCTATATATATAGCCTATATAATACTGCTTCATAATAACCGAGTATATTACATGATTTACTGAACAGATGCTGTATAAAGTAATGAACATCGTCATGGTATCTTTTAATCTTTTTACGCTGTTTAGATCTTTATGACTTCAAAAATTTAACTCTATTTTTAAAAATGTCCGAGTTTTTATCTCTGCCTTTTGTACTTATACCTTTTTGCAGTTCTCCTAGTTTTTTTTTTACATCATTTTAAATCTCTATTTTTTTCCTCCCCCCGAAATTAATTTTTAAAGATCTTCCAACTAAAACAAAGCGGCTATAAACCGATGTTTTCTTTTCTTTTCTTTTTTTTTTTTTTACTTATAAGATACAATCAGTTTAATATATCTGAAAATTGAATGTTCTAATGGATGTTTTTAGTTAATTTGAAAGAGCAAGAAGGCGTAAAAATGGAATTAAAAAGAATTTTTTTAATGTAGATTCTGTTCTTAATTGATAAAATTATGTAAAAAACTTAAAAGATGATGATGTTCTACATTTATGTAATGTAATAAATATCCCGCATTTATTAATCTTTAAATAATAATAATAAAAAAAAAATTCTCTTTTAAGAATTCCGAAAATTCCAAAATAATTATGATGATGCTAAGAAGTAATTGAAAAACATATATTTATTATTTTTTTTCTTTTGTGATATTTACTTTTATTTTTTATTCTAGTTTTAAGAGTTCTTTTAAAAATAATGAAGCAATACGTTTTATGTAAGTAACTTTAATTGAAATAAACGTTTTTTTTTGTAATTTAAAAGAACCAAAAAATAAAAAAATAAAATATATATTAATATTATGAATTTTTTAAACTAATTAATATCATAAAATTGAGTAAATGTTTATTTAAAAATTCTGTGGTAAAGAAAGAATGGATAAGTTTTTAATTAATATTAAAATAATCGAGATATTACTTTAAAAAAAAAAAATCTTTGTATAAACAGACTGTAGTGTTTCTGCGGTGTATTGATGTGCTACAAACTTATTATAAGAATGCCACAAAAATCATTATAAAATATATTAATTTTTTTTGTTTACTTATAAATATTATTTGTATATTTATTTATATAAAAATATAGATTTTCAATTCGTTTCCTTTCTATATATAAGAGCATCTCTGATGCGACACTGGTTTATCGGGTGTGCCACTAAGAATTCTGAATGTGCCACGATCTCGAAATAGTATAGAATCGCTGATATAATGGAAAATAATATTGGTTTTAGGAAATAAAGTAATTTATATATATATATATAAATGTGAATATATTTGCACTGAATTTGTATATGAATATAGATTTACATAAGTTTGTTCCTCTATCAATTATGGAATGGTGCAATGTTATATTCACTTTCATGTTAGTCTACAAGATTTATTTCGGAATTTATAAGAAAATTAATGTTTTTATGATATTTTTCTAATTGTTAAATGGAGTGTTAAGAGGAATTTTTGAGTTATTTTTATTTGGAGGTTTTGCTTATTTTCAGAATTCTTTACATCACATAAATTCTATGAATTCCAATGGAATTGAATAAATTTTACATACTGTATTCTAAAATATATTTTATTTTAGGCCATAGAAACAAAATGGCGACGGTTTGAATTTTTAATGTACAAATAAATTTTGTATAAAGTCACTTTCAACTCAGGAATTTGGAACAGATTTATATAAAATATATATTATATATAAATTAATTATTATGTTATAAATATGTTATTTATTTTCATGTAGTTTAAATCTATCTTTTATCACAATTAATTTTATTTTAATGAAAGAAAATGGCGTCCGATTAAAATTTATTATAATCAATTTCTGAAAATTATCTATATAAATTTTTAAAAATTAATTTTTTATTGTTAGGTTTGTAATTGAAAAATGCTTATTGGATTTTTTTTTCATTTTACATGTTTAGAAACTAAAATCAATTTTAAGTAATTTAAATTAACTTTATTTAAATAAAATTATTTAAAAGTAATTGTGGGAATGACATATATATTAATAAAAAGAATTAAAGATAACCGAAACGAAAAAATTTATTAAATTACAAAATTTATAAAGCTTTTTCTTTGATGTTCTTATCGATTTTCTATTCGTAAAAAGCTCCATTTAAGAAATTAGAAAAAAAAAATTTAAATAAATTTTAATCGTTTACCTTTTATTATCTTTTATAAGAACAATTCGACTTTATCAAACATTGGATCAATAAGGTAATAGTTATGTCGGATTTCCATCAAAAATCCGACCTATCTTGGTATTGTAATAGTTAGATTTCAGATTGTTCTTTTTCTATATTTGTCCTGTAAAATGTCTTCAAATAACAACCAAACTGATTGCTATAAGAGACAAGAGGAAACTCTATACCGAATTTATTACTACTCTTTTTATTTTTTATCGTTTACGGATAGATCTTGATCGAATTTTATAAAACATATAAGTTCAATAAGATACGAATGAATATAACACTATAATAAAATACTGTATACGAAAACTGATTTTATAACAAGATTCTATCGTTCTTACAAAGCAATTTATTTTATTATTATTATTATTTTTTAAAATAAATCTGTAATTTCAAAATTTAATAAAATATTTATTTATTATAAGAATATTGCGTTTTTTTCCACAGAAAAAAAACGAACTCACTTTCCAAACAACCCAATACATAATCAAATGATCATTTATCCATGCTCAGCTGAGTTAGGAAAGTCTGATTTAAGTAACTCTTAAGCCTGATATTAGAGGATGCAGTTTACAACTTTTTCACCTTATAACTATGCTGTATATCAGAGGGCACCTTTTATTAAAGGGTGCTGTATATTATAATAAATACAGTATTTCCAGATTCATCAAGTGTCATTGCATAAAAAAGTGCAGAACAAACATATGCAAATGTAAAAAGGCAGAACTGCTGTTCAATTTTTGATGCCATAATTCAAACTCTTGTGCTAATAATTAGGCCTCAGGAAAAGTGATTCATAAGTTTTTAGTAAGATATTGAATTTTTGTTTGTTCTCTTTTTACTGACATATTTCAATTCTTATAAGTAAGGTTTATTCTTTAATGAAGTATTTGACAAAACACTTTCTTTTTTTAATTTTTTTTTATCTCATGCCTATTCAGCTTGGTAAAGTAGTTAACATGTGAATAAAAATATCAATATTTGGACATTGTCCAAACCTCTTTAGGCAATCTTAAGTTAATGTGTTCCAGCAAAGTCTGAATTAAAATTCCACTTCAACAATGCACAAAACATTGTCAGCAATCTTAATATTTGTCTACGCAATTCTAGGATTACTGATTCTTTGGACCTTCCTTGTAACATATATAATATCTCTGTAATTTTATGTAAAGATTCAATTAGGANGAATTTTATTTTATAAATACCGTAAAATTGATCGATAATAGATGTTTCTTTAAACTAACACGAGATGTCGCTCTGTTCTAAAAACGAATACTGTATACAGTTTTTGTTTGATGCCGTTACCATTGGCAACTGTTCTGTTATTGCCTGTACTAGAAAAACGGGAATGGCGGAACAGTTAGTAGGAAAAATAAGTACCGTACAGATTTCGGATGTACTAACAGAGCCACTGAGTTTGTCGCAAAATTTAAATCCTCTACTCACTCTAAATGACATCGTGCGTACGTGCTATGGACCACGTGGTCGTTTGAAATTGATCCAAAACAAAGATGGAGGAACGGTTGTTATAACGTCGTCTTCATCTATTTTATTTCATAGAATATCGCCTTCTAATCCATTTGTTCGACTTATTTTTGCCTGTGTTAAGTCTCACTTAAGCAAGTTTAATGATTTTGGTTTATTAACAGCATTGATTATAACAACGCTTTTATTAAGTTCCTTGCACCTAAATGTGCCTAAAATTCTGGTTGCTGACGTAAACGATTACATCATAAAGCTGTGTTTTGAATATTTCAATTCGGAGCAGTGTCCTTGTAAGGTGCGGCTTCGATTGGATGATGTTTCGCAGCTGCTATCTGTGATAAGAACTGTGATAAATTCAAAACCGGGTTGTGTGTTGAGTAAAGATGAGAAAAATCATCTCGCTTTGTTATTACTGAAAGCATTCTTAAATGTCGTGCCGAATACGGGCAAAATTATGGGTAGAATTGAAATTATCACTCGGGAAGGAGTAAATGTATTAAATTCAGATGTATTTTGTGGTCTCTTGATACCTTGTCAATCAAATACCAAAGCAATCTGTGATAAAAATGGGAAAAGAAATTTAAAATTGCTTCTTTTTGCTACATCTCTTTCGGGAGATGCAAAATTTTGTGTTGATAAACTTGAAGTTCATGGAGATGTATCAGTTTGGAATGAAGTATTTTGTGAATTAAATAATTTGATTGCAAAAATTATTGAAAATGACATTGATATTGTAGCTTGTCAAATGGTGATTCACCCTTTGTTAAAAGAACGATTAGAAAGTGCTGGAATTTTAGTATTTGATCGTTTGGGTGCTGATCTTTCACGTGCACTTCAGGAATTAACGAGTAATAATTTTTAAATATATTATTAATTTAAAATGTTAGTTGAGTATTATATTAAGACTTGTTCTACAATTATAAGGAACAATTATTTTAGATGTTCATATAATCATATTGTAAATTTAATAAGTTTTAATATATATTGATAAGTATTGAATTTCAAATAAACAAACAACCGGCATTAGTTAATTCAGTATACAGTAGTTTGAGAAAACTAGTTTTAAATTAATTTTAGTGCAGACAGAAAACTTTGTATTATAAAACAAACATTTTTAACAAAAAAAAAAATTTCATTTGTATATTTAATCAAATATGGCTTATTTGTTTGTTTATTGCAGTTGTGTAAGTCACTTAAGAAATTAACTTTTATGGTATAAATTGCTTTTAGATACTTTCCATGTACGGTGTGTCCCTGAAGTCTGGACACGTAGGAAATCTCATTAAGTATAATTTTTAAAGGATAAAAGAGAGTGTACTCAATGAAAATCACAGATGTAACACACTTGATTGAATGCATAAAGAGTGAATGTGCTAAAGTTGACAATAATGTGGATTTATTAATTGAATTCACATGAATTTTGCAAAGTGCATCAAACTTTGCATTGCATATGATGGAAATCATCTTGAGGATATTATTTAATATCCCAATTGAATAAAATGTTGTTAAATTTTATTTCTCGAAAACATGTATTTTTGCCTACCTGTCCAGGCTTTAGGGACACCCTGCATATATATATACAAGTACGTAAACAAGTTACTTGAAATTCTTCCATTCTACCACTTATATATTTAATACCACTTTTATATATAAAAAATAAAATCACATCCTCTAAAGAATCAGACTGTAAACAAACATAACACGTCTTCAAACCTGTAACGAGCCCTTCACTTCACTTCTTGACTTTTCTGATATACTCAGGATTTGATATATTGAATCCTGAGTGTATCAGAAAAGTCAAGAAGTAAAGCATATACCATTCTGTCAAACTCGTTATAAGTGTGTTATATTTATAAAATACAGTATATTTTATTCTTTTATATAATGCATCATTCCATTATTTTTAAGTTTTTTTTCTAAAACTTTCAAATGAAATATATGACTTTTTTAATAAATAAAAATAATTATTTTTTATTTATTTATTGCTTTTTCTTTATCTAGGGATATCCCTGCTTATGTCACATCACACACTGCATTGTACATTTCAGTCATTCACTATTATGGACTATCTTTTGATCAGCAATTTCTATTTTTAACTGCATTGTGACTGTTCAAAATAAATACAGCTTTTTTTTTTTTTTGTTTAAAACACTCCTGCTTTGAATTAGTTATGTATTTATATATAGAAATATTTCATTCCATCAAATATTAGTAAAATTACAAATTGTTTTAATTCTTTGTTGGAAATCATGCTTTAATAGGTTAATGTTACATGTTTTGAGAAATGAAAATCATCTCTAAATTTAATACATTAATTAATAGAATAATTTAGAAGTTAATTTCTACTTTCTTTCATTAAAATATATTTTTAAATGTTTTTTTCCTTGTTAACAAATTCTGTTAAATTAATTTTACAGTTTTAAGATTAGAGATTTAAAATTTGAAATTTCTCTGTTTTTTGATAATGATTTAAAAATTTTTCAAAATGTTTAAATTAAAAGAAATTACTATGCAATTTTATAATTAATTTGCTGAAGTTATATATGTAAATGGTTTCATTTTTATTCAATACATAATTCAAGATTTAGTATAATTAATTTTATAATAATAAAAATTTTATTTATTTAGGAGCTTGTCCAATAGAAACTTTACTTTTTCCAGAAGATTTAAATGTTGTAGGTAATGTAACATCTATTGAAATGAAAAAAATTAATAAGAAAACATATGTTAATCTGCAGTCTAATGATACAATGTGGACGTTACTAATATGTCATAACATTGAATCAGCATTAAATGAAACAAATGTAAGTATAATTTAATTTTTAATAAACATATTAATCTTAAAATTCATGTAATTTATGTGCTGTTCAAATGTACTTTTATTAATATCTTATTAAACTTATTTTTATTTCTATTGTTAAAAACTTGAAATTTGACAAAGAATATGACATCTTTTAATTAATATTAAAAAATTTTTAATAACTTTTTGTAAAATACTTATTTTTTTTATTTATATTTGTCAAATAATTCATTTTAAGAGACTTTAAAAAATTTAAAGTTTTAAAAGAAAATAAAATATTTAATATGTTCATTTATATGTGAATTATTTTTCGTATTTAAATACGTACTTTTCTTTATTTTTTAATCTTTTTCTTCAGTTTCTTTTTACATGCTGTTGAGAATGTGTTAGAAGATGATTTTGTTTATCTACGTCTTGTGAGTTAGGTTTTTTGATTAATATCAGTTGTATTATTGTTTTCTGAATTTGTAAAAAAAATTTCAATTGAAACTGAATGATCTGCACACTGATATTCTGAAAAACAGAATATATGTTTTTTCTAGCATATCACTTAACATAGTAAAATAGTAATAATTAAAATGAAATACATAACTGCAGAAATGTTTAAGTTATTTTCATATTTATTATAGATTAGGATAAGATAGGAGTGATATATAGCAGTATAAACTCAATCAAATTTTGTATGCTGACATTTCTAGACAAGCAGAAAAGATTTCTACAGTGGAAAATTTTATTTCCAAAACTTTCCACTATGAGATCTGCTGGCTCTACAAGTAGTTAAAAAACCTTGGTGTAATTTCTCAAGGTGCACTCAAAGCATTAGCACTGCTTTCATTAAACAGCTTCACAAGATGCATTCAGGCATGGTATAAGCATTGATGTTGATCTACAGTAATATGAGAGATATGAGTGATATTTCAAATGCCATAAGCAGTTTTATGCCCAGAAATTGACCATACCTTATATATATGCCTGATGTCTATGCTATGTATTATTTTGCTGCTCATTACAGTAATGAGTTTTGGAACTAAATTTTTTTCTCCTTGGAAATTTCTTTTGCATGTCCAGAAACATCAGCATGTAAAATTTGGTCAAGTTTGGATTGCTACATATCCCTTCAGATGTTGAATAGGAGTACTTTAATTATGATCACCCAGTATATGCTTTATTTTGTAAATCTAATATTTTTATCAAATATTATAAAAAAATATTAGATTTAAAATATGTAGAAATATAAAAAGATATTACTAAAAACTCAAGATATAGAAATATTAATGTTTTATTATTAATGATCTGGTCTTAAAATTTTATTGTATCAGTTTAAAAAAATGAATTTCTAATTTCATAAATTTTTAAAAAGTTAACATTGAAGGGACTAATTTTATCTAGTGTATAAAAGATTAAAGTCATTCATAAAATGTCATAGTAAAATCAAAACAATAGTAAAGGACAATTTTTTATTACATATTAAATTAGAGCATATACTTATAGTTGTTTAGCTCTTCATCAGATCTCTATAGAAAATTACAAATTATTGCTTTACAAAACATTGAAATACAAAATATATTCCACACAGATATCAGGTAAGGTTCAAAGGATCAGAAATCTTAGGATTGTCTAAGCAAAGTTAAGATTGCCAAGAGTGTTTTATGCATTATCTGAAATAAAGTTTTATGTTGGACTTTGCCTGAAAATGAATTAGGCAAATTTATGGTTGCCTAAAAGAGATCTGGGCAATTTCCAAATATTGATTTTTTTGTTCATATGTTACCCTGTCAATCTTAAGTTTACTCGGTTACATGGATGTCTGAAGAAAATTTTTCAGGAGGAAAAGCTTGGAGACAG